CCCAAAAGTATGTTGATTCCAGCTTTCATGCACCAAGAGATCCACAAGGGATCCACAGCTGATGACAAATGTCGACTCTTACAATAAAAGTTAATATGGATGAGAAACAACCCACAGATATACTGATGGTTCTTTTCAGATCTTTCCATGATTATTAATTCAACAGAGGATGATTTGAACTTCTTACAAATTCAGAAAGCTCTGATGATAAAGGTACCAGATTAAAGAAGCTGAAAACCATAATCCTGTAGTTCTACATAACTTTGAAACAGCTTTAGGGAATACATATTGCACTGCCAACATATCTCTCTTCTAAGCTAAGAAATCCTCTTCAGCATCCATGTCTAATTAGTCTCTGGCCTTTTTGCCCAAATACTAACATAAGATTCGACCTTACAGAATAAAGAACACATGGTCACGAGACTGAAATGCTGATAACCACCAAGAATACCAGTTTCCACTGGCAGTTTGATCTCCAAGGACTGGGCTGGGACTAAAACTTACTCTGTTGCTCTTTTAATAGCCATCAGACCATATTGTCTGTCAGAAATAATACATCGCCTGCACTGAGATGTGACCCAGTTGGTGACTGCGAATTAAATCTCTCTGTGTTCCCTTTACGGCTCCTTTGAGATAAAGATCCTATTATCCATTACCCCTGTCTTTGCAGAGCATGTAATTTCATATGAAATCTACTCATTTAAAAGCTAATAATATGTTTAAAGCTCTGTATTAGATGGTCTTTGGTCACTGCCAAGAGGGAATGAAGCTGGCAGTAAAAGTTCATCCATGTGGATAGTAAACAGAAAGAATAAAACCAGATTAGAGAGAATGGGTTTTATATTTGCTCTGCAACACTGAGTTCTGTAAAATAATATATACAAGTCAGAATATATTTCCATATCAAAATGCAGTCAACTGCAGGAGATTGTATTTTAAATAGCATAGTAAATTCTGTATTGTTTAGCTTACAAATAAACAGGGGAAGAATAAGAAGGAAGGAATATAGTGGAGACCTTCTGTCTACAAAGATGCTTCATTTCTTGCTGAGTGGACAAAAATTATCATCATTACAGGCCCTGGTGCTTCTTGTTTGTACTTAAGAATAAAAACTAGATCTGTATTTTAGTTTTTTGTTTATTTCCATCATTCATTTTCCCACCTCCATTTTTTACATCTATTTATAGCTATAAGAATATATATATCATATATATTTCTATATATGATAACCTTGGCAGCCTATTCTCAGAGGAATGAATTCAAGCACTCAGTCCCAGACTACTCAGAAACTTGGCGAAGATAAACCATTGCTGAGCCATTTCAGGCATTGCTTTTAGCTGCTTCTCAGGCAGCTTATGGAAATACTGAGACTGAGTAACTCATGTCTTGCCAATGCCCAGATTTTTAAAGAAAGAGATGGGGGAAGAAAATTAAGGCAGAGAAGAAGAAAAAAGAGGTCTTCCCAGGTTTTGTCTGCTCATGGAGACGAGACCACAACCTCAATGTTCTTTATCTCTGGCTTACCTGATCAGTGTATATCCCTAGATCAGGCCCAGTAATGATGCAGTTTTGAGGAGGGTGTGGGGGAAGCAGGTGTGCTTCTCCAAATCCCAGGGATACTAGAGATGGCAGAGATGACAGTAAAATTCCTTCCATCCTCCCAGCCTTTTCTCCATGGTCACTTCCCACACTTTTTAATCACTGCAAAAAACATAAGGAGCAGAGTCATCCCCCCATTGCCCTGCCTGCCAGTTAGTTTTAATTGCCTGCACATCAATTATGTTCCATTAATTTCTGGTTCCATTCCTCCCTTGTTTACCAGACATGATGTCAACACAGTGCTTGGGTGGTATCAGTAGCTGTTTTTGTTTCCCTTCTTTCAGTAAGCACCCTCTCCACAATCTCTCTCACCCACCACTGTTATAGGCAAATAGGACATTTTATGAAATGTCTCTCACATAAAAATCCATCTTACAGTTTAGTTCTAGTATGTGAATGTCTTCTAAGGATTGATCATCTTTACTCTATTTAAATGTTAAAGCTAATGCCATTACAAATTCAAATTACCCCACCCTCTAGACCCGTAATAACATTTAAGTAGGAAAAGTATTATGCTCCACGTTCACTCTGACAACTGTGTCACTGCTGAGTTCTCCTGGTACTAAGAGTATTTCCACAAGGGCAGTATTGGTTTTATTCACCCACTTTGTGCAGCATGTCAGGTCATTCTTTTTCACATTATGCACTAATTAAAAAATAAACATGTAGTAAGACAACTTGGGCTCAAAAACCTCTGAAGGACAGACCTGCATACAGCAAACCAGCTGATACTTTGTGCCCTCAACTATGACTTATTCCCATTCTCTTAAATTACATTCAAGTGGCTGATCAGTTCATAAAGTAAATGGACAGCTGCAGCACAGAGCAGCCATTTCAACAGCAGAGTGCTGTAGACGTGGCTGCCTGCCAAAGAACACATTGTTAAAGCAAGCAGCATAAAATGAAAAATTAAGATATTGGCACCAAGACCTACTGGTAAGAGCTGAGGGTCAGTAAGGGACACAGCTATAATCTAAAAGATTTTTTCCAATAGATTAAATTTAGGACAGGCAAAGCATCCCTGCTTTGGAGAAGTGTTCTGCAGTGCCGGGAACTGAGGCGAGTCTCCAAACAAACATAAAAGCCCCTGTTGCTCTCCTGGCCACCACGGCTCCTCTGCTTGGCAACTGGCAATTTGGTACAATCCTTCTTTATGGCACAGCTGTCGCAGCTGGACATAACACCACCTCAGAGCCGTTCTGAAATGTACCTTCTCAGTAATCAATACATGTTTTAGAGTGTGTGTTTCATTTACTACTCTGTTTTGTTTATTGTTTATTTTGTTTATTTGAAAAAATGTCAACAATTTATTGAAATTGCCTTTTGCCTGAAACAGATGCAGAACAGCAGGAAAGGAAAAGAATGTATTGAGATGCTCCTTCCTCAGTGGCTGTCACAGTTACCAGCAGTTAACATACATTACATATGAAAATGTTTTGGAGAAATTCTCTAGTTAAATGGCTGAGCATCCATTATTCAGAAAACTCCAAGCATTATGAATGCATATCCCTTCCTCTGGGTACACACACTGTGCTCCAATCGTTACTTACTTATCATCATGTACTCTTAATAGAATCATGATTTTTTTATTGCTGTCCTATACAATGATTATGGTACAGCCTGTGATGTGTCTTTATTCCCCTTAGTAATTCTACTGTCACAATGACCTACTGCCTCTTCTTTGACTCTGATTTCTTTACATAAGCTGTATTTTACTCCACAGACACATTTAAATGGTTTGTCAGGACCTGTATGCCATCCCATTTACTTCTGTGCCTGAGAGTACTCTTTTCTTTGGAGCAATTTAGAGCTGAACCAATTAAGCAAACAGCTAAAATTGAGATGGTGAGACTCTTCAACAATGTCTTATAGGACCTGTGATAATATTTCAGTATAAACTGAATATTTTTTTTTTGCTTGTTTGTTTATATGGAGTCTGTCTGGACTAATCCCAGTGGTCCCTGGAGAGTACAACTAAGAATTGAGTCTTCTCAACCTGTGGCTGTTCATCAGCAACAGGCAATCGTAACTACAGATTTCATTATTTGCAATCCAAAACAAAAGATACAAAATATAGCCTGTGTGTACACCAGGAAATCTTGTCAGCTTGATGCAGGAAGAGTTCCTCTTGCAAAACAGAGCATCTCTGAAATTTCTAAGGTGAATCATCAAGAGTGCCCTTTGGTGAATCGTTGTAATAAAGCAGGAACATTACTGACTCTTTCAATGATTTACACAGTGTGCAGGGATTGAGCCTGAACATCTCCAGCACGGTATTCATTATTCATCCATGTTAGCTGAGCACAGCTCAGCCTTCCCTGTGTTGCACTGGGTAAGAAAGCAGCGTGTCTGTGATTATCTGCCAAGCCAGAGCCAACCCTGCCACACAAGGTGATGAGAAGAAGGAGAGAGAAGGGGAGATTTGCTCAACCACGTGATGGCAAACACCTCCTAGGACATGGGAGGTTTTGTGCCACATCCCACTGTGCCCACGTGGGAGAATGGGATGTATATGCCTCCCTTGGTTTTTTAGTTTCCTCTTCACCCTGCCCAAATCCGGCATATTTACCTGGAGGTTCAGACTGTCTTATTGCAATTCTTACACTTTAAGGTTAGGATTTTAATGCAAGGTATTTGTCTGACCTTGCTCCAGGTTATTTTTACACATCAGGAATGAATTACTGTTATGAATAATGGTGCTTTCAGACATTTTGGATGAGGAAACCATATAGAAGAGCTTGGGAAACTGATTTCTTTTCAGCAGCTTAGTAGAAGCAGATGAAAATGGAAAAAAAACCCCAGCCTTTTTCCCATTACACATTTTGACAGGAAAGCATGTGACACTTGTACCATTATCTAATTTCTCTTATGCAAATCATCTCAACAGTGCATAAAATGAAGAGTGGTAGATTCATTCTCCTAAGCGTCCTCCATGGAAGTTTCAGCTTGGATAATCCAGTGTCTGACACCCCAATCAAAAGGTGCTTAAAAATGTAAGCCTCTAAGATACATAACCAGATATAGATGTTTTATAACTGCATCCATATGGATATTTGGGCTTATCCACACTGGCCCTAATTGATTGTGACTGTCGGCTCACTTTGTTTCAGAGCAGTCAGGTAGGCTGGCTCAATTTCTCATTAGAAAATTGAATTACGTTTGCGTTACGTTAATAGGGAATGATGAAACAAGCCGAATATAAGGTACAGAAAAATCAGATTCTGCTTATGCAAAACTTCCTTGTCCTGAGCTGTACCAGTGAGGGCTGTTACAAATGCAGATATTAAGCTTCCTTCCATTTTAAGCAGCGTTATTAAGAAGACCTGAAAAAGTGGGACAACTTAGCAGCTTAATATCACTCTCACTCAACGCGGAGGCTAATCTCTCATGTCTTTATTCAGGACGCTCCTTCCCTGGGTTCTCTGCCGACGCCGTTCCCCTCAGCCGTGTGACCGCGAGGGAGGATCTGGGTCCCGCCGTGATTGAGGTCACTGGGGCAGCCGAGCCCCCGCGATGCGATCCCGGCGCTGCGAAGCACGGGCGGCTGAGCCCGCGGGGCTGCGGAGCCACGGCCGCGGCTGCCCCACATCGCGGCACGGCGGGCACCCAGGCGGGCTCGCAGCCGAGCCACACACCCGCACGGGTGCCCCGAGGCCTGTGAACAACGCGACTCCTACACCGATCCTCAGCCTCCGTGAGAGCAGGAGGCATTTTAAAGCATCGTTTGTCACTGTTATCTCTGAACAGAGAAACACCACTACTAGTAGTTAAGTGGCTATATTAAAAATGCTACAGCAGCATATTCCTCTCTGAAGGCTGCGTGGAACAGGCTGAGTCTTAGCAGGGGCTGAAGATTGCAGGCTAATATGAATAATCTTTATCTGAATGCCTCCTACACATATTATTGCTGATAAAGTTGAGCTATAAATGTGAAAGGATATTTTAAGGAGAAAAAATTAAACACGGGCATAAATTAGTGAAGCTAGAGTCAAATATAACAGTAAAAAATGCAGTAAAAAAATGCCAATTTGTTGCATCTTCTAGAGATGAGAATCTCAGAGTAATAAAAGTAATGTACATGCTAAGTATATTCAAGGTTAAAGTAACACCAAGGTTCATTTGTTTCAGTTCCTCTGCCTTCTGAAATCCTCTCTTAAATGTTAAGGCTTCAGTGACATCTGCTGTTGAAGACCTATTTAATTAATTAGTTGTAATTTAACAGATATTCCCTCTAAGTGAACTCTTCTTCCACACAGTTTCTACTATTCGATTCTATTGGTAAAGATCCCTACCACAACCTTTTAAGCTGATCAGAAAACCTCTGAAATTGAGCTCTGTTGTTGTTCTGTTCATCCAACAAGGTGTTAAATCACTCTCAATTTTCAAAGCAAGAGAATTTTTCTCCCTGCTTTGCTCCTGCCCTCCCTTCCAACTTGAATGCATGGAAATAGCATGAGCACATGTTTAGCTGCCAATAAAGTTACTCCCAATGTGTTCAAATCTATTGGTGGAATACTAAGATGGAGTTTACGATCAAAAAGCAACCATGAAAAAAGGCTCTGTGAAACATGATCCTGAAACTTTGTAAATTACTTCTTCTGTGCTCTCACAGTAGCCTTTAAGGAGGGCTTGCAGAAAACAGTAATTAACCTGTGGTTCCCTTTCATGTGTGACTTTAATGCTCCTGAGAGCAGAACAGAAAGGCTGACAGACTCCTGTCAAACCCCAAGTTCAAGAAAGGATAAAAGTAAGGCTAAAATTCTAATTCTGCACTCAGAGCAGAGACAGAAATATTCAGAATCAAACTCCCCACACTGCAGGTTACACCTCCAGTTATGTGTTATGGTGATTTCCATCCTGAATAAAAGGTGTCATTGTCAACATGGTACTCCATCAACAAGATATGGCCCAGCAGTACACAGAATGCTGCTGTTTAGTTGCATTTCTTTCTTCTCACTCTGAAAAAAAACCCCACCTTTTTTTTCCCCCCACACTAAAATTAATGGCCCTGGCTTTTGTGGTGCCTTAGAGTTAAGGCCAGAATTCTGCATCCTGTTTCTGCTATAAAATTGCTATATGAACTTGAGTAAGTCAAAAAGTCAAATCTTCAGAAGCATTCTATGTTCCTGGATGATCAACTTTAGACAGCAGATATGTCTTGCTGAAATGCCTGGTACCCCCATAGCAACAATGGAAGTGGCTGGAACATGGGAGTGGTTTGTACCCAGGAAGCCCTTAGACCAAAGTGTGCCAAGCTGCTCACTCAGCAGTGGAAACATTCAGCATTAAAGTATTTCTTGGAAATACAGATTTCCTGTCCTATTTCACAGGGATGGTGTGTCTGATACATTAATTCCCCAGTGTTCAGGGCCTGTTTTAGTATTACTGAGCTGTCAATGAATGAAAAATAAAATGTGATGTAAACCCTAAACTACCACAGCCCATAGCAGGTAGTGACTTTTTAATTTTATTTCATTAGAGCTCTTAACATGTTAGAAGTCAGAGGTGAAGGAGTGAAGTAAAGCAGCCAAGGGGAAACCTGCCATTGCCCCATCATGCTTTCAGTCCTCCACATCATTGTAAGCCAGTGGAATTTAAACAGTTACCAAATATAAGATTGTATGATTTATTTCTAATCTTTTTTAAATTGTGGTTGTGACTGAATCATCCCTTCCTTTGAGCATTTTGACCTTGGATACAGCTGTAGTAAACAGAACTAGTTCAATTTAATGTTTTTTCCTCACTGGAAGGTATCCAGGTCCAACTTTAGCACCATTTTAGATGCTTAAGAGTTCCTGTACAGCTGCCTAGGCAGGGCAGGGGCCAAGGGTGTGAAAAATAATTGACTGAGGAAGAGAGACCTCTCTACCAAAAAGAGGTAAGCATCAGCAATCCATAAATTTAAAGAACTGAACTAAGTGGGGTAAGGAATCTAAACTGCACTTTAGCTAATCCTTTTAGGAACAAATTGATGAACAGTGTAGAATTATACAGAAAAAAAATAAAAAAGGAGGGGGAAAAAGACAATTCTCTGTCTTCCCAAACTGTTTTTACAATGCACTTTGAAGTTGGCTATGTTATGCATTGCTATATATTGTTACATTTTAAAGCTGTGTTTTTCATAAGACTTTTTGCCAATATTTATCAACTGAAGAAAGCTGCTTTAATATGGAAAGCTTACTCCAAGGTTATTTCCCTATTTTTGGAATCAAAACCACACAAGTGTTGTACCAGTGAGAGGTTTCTCTTGCACAGAATAAGCAAATATTGCTCAGTTTATATTTTGGACTTTGTTCCTTCTTTAATGAAGTATTGGTTGTACTTTTACGTTTTCTATTTCTGTTAGGTTTCTTGAGCTATAAAAAAGCAAGAATTACAATGTTACACAATCACAGAATATGCTGAGTTGGAAGGGACCCACAAGGATCATCAAGCCCTGCACAGGCCCATCAACCCTTAGCCCTGCACAGGCCCATCCCCAATAGTCACACCATGTGCCTGAGAGCATTGTCCAAACGCTTCTTGAACTCTGTCAGCCTTGATGCTGTGACCACTGCCCTGGGGAGCCTGTTGTCACATTTTAAGAAATTAAATATTATATTCTTATTATTATCTATTATATTCTTGTATTAACCTATAAGGTATAATTAGTAATATTCTATTAGTGATATTAATATTCTGATAAGTCCTATGATACATTACCCAAGAAATTCTCTTCCAGTTTGGACTGTATGACAAAGTCTTCCTTAACTGTGATTATCATTAAGACCTTGATTGCTAGTTGTACATTTTCATAAAAGTGAAACATTCCAGGTTTGACTTGCAGCAGCTACAGCGAGACTGCAACACACTTTAATCCTTGCTTTTATATTTTCAGGACCGCATGGGAGTCCAGCTGTGAATACCTGGTGACAGTTCTTCACCATATACCTGATTTCTCTGCTGATTTAGTCTTCACTAAGAGATTATAGAACCAGAGTGCCAAGAGTACACTGTCCTCTGAAAACTGTGAAGGGATTGAATATGGAGGTGAGGAAAACTTTAAATACCTGTTTTCTCAGGTCTGTTGTGGACCCTTTCTCTTGTTTATCCAGCTGGTTTAGACATTCCTTCACCCCTCCTGCATCTGCTGTAGTTGATGTGGAAAGCCTCCATTTGCTTTTCTGTTCCCTTGAAATTATGCTCCAAAGCCTAATCATCTCCTTTTAAATGGCTTAAACACTCTTTTTAGTCATTTGACTTGCAAAAATGACCAGAAATATGAGATCAAAGGGGAAGCTAATATGTTAATACATGTTCAAGCCCAAGACCACACAAAACAATCCATTAGTTTGAGAAATGGAAACTGGCGCATTCATCTGAATGAATTGTTAGGTCATATTACTTGCAGGTGAATATGAAAAAATGCTTAGCTAAAGTTTCCAGCTAACACATTTATGACAATTTTGACCTCTTGCTCCCCATTTGCAGTTATCCAAAGTGCTATGTCCTACCCAGGTAATTCCCTGTGTTTGACTGGTTTTAGTATAAAACAGAAGCTTATAGGTAGCAATTGCTAGATAGCAACCTGACTTCCATCCTAGTGCTGGGAAATATGCTTGGATATGTTTTAGTGGTAATGCTTCTTTCAATGAGATAATTTCAATTTTAGTTTTATTTGAGCTATGTAAGAATCTTAGAAACTGTAAAAACAACAGCCAGTACGCTGATTGCTTGTTATCTCTTTGTACTATGATTTGCAAACCTGTGGATGTTCAGTAACTCTGACCAGGTGATGGAGTTCATATTTTAACCTACAATCCGCAGCTCTCAGGCCACACACGGGCAGTAGGTTGGCATTGCCTTGGCACCATTTCTGCCAGGATGCTAAAATTTTCCCAGTGATCTAAGTGAGAATTAAAGTGATTGCCCTCCAGAAGCCCAGCTCACTCCCATTTGTGTGAACAGACTGAAGTTTGAAACACCACAGTCCTAGAAACACCCTTGAGCACATTTTTGTGAAAGGCTGGAAGGAACAGATGGCTTTTGAACCCTGATGCTATTGGGGCTGTCGGCATGATGGAGCACTGTATCCTCATTTGTACTGATTGGGGTCAAATCAGCTCTAGCCTTTAATTTACCCTAACCACTGAGTCTTTTTTCTAATTAGAATATATGTCATTACCTATTCCTACAGTAATGATAACCTACTGAACTCTAATGAATCAATCCCATCTGCCTTGCTGTACGTATACTTGGCCATTTCACTGCTCAGAATCAAAAGAATTCACTAAGGCACAGGAGCCAGGAATCACAAGTGCTGTTCCCTGTATTGGAATGTAAATGGAGCAGTTATTCTGGGGTTTGCTGCGATTTTCTGCAGAATTTTATTACTGAGGAGTTTGTAAGGTCATTCCCATGAGACCCTTTGACAGCCTGCAAAGCTAAACACAGAATCAAAAAGCACAGGTTCTGTTCTTCAGCTGAGAATTGAAGGTC